CCACACAACCACACAGAAGGACCCCCACATAACACACCCACACATACACACACCCACACATACACACCCACACATAACACACCCACACATACACACACTCACACATACACACACTCACACATACACACACTCACACATACACACCCCACAAATACACACACCACATATACACACCATACATACACACCCACCCACACACCACACATACATACCACACATACACACCATACATACACACCACACATACACACCCATACATACACACACCCACACATACACACCCATACATACACACACCCACACATACACACCCATACATACACACACCCACACATACACACCCATACATACACACACCCACACATACACACCCATACATACACACACCCACACATACACACACATACACACCCACATAACACACCCACACGTACATACACTCACACATACACACACACATATAACACATACACACACCCACACATACACACACCCACACATACACACCCACACATACACACACTCACACATACACACACTCACACATAACACACCCACACATACACATACTCACTCATGCACACCTGTTAGCATTCAGGCATTTACACTGGCCTGCTCTCAGTGACCTAGTAGGACAGTCATCGCCAGCAGCCTGAGATATGACACTGTAGCTACTGCAGCCACTCTGCCTTCTTGCCCCGCCCCCTTCTGCTCTCCCTCAGAGGCCACCTCTGCATCTCCCCTCCTCCCCCAGTAAACCTCCCAGGTGAGCTCTGTTGCATGGTAGGACTTTGTGGTGCCCCTCTAACCCATCAAAGGTCACCTGCTGCTGAACTATTACAACACTCACACAGTCCTACACAACAAATGTAAAAAGAAAAAAAATTAATACAAAGCTACCCCCAAAAATCACAGAATAGGAAAATCTTGTGTGTAGAGATTTACTGACATTAAGTGCTGTTTGTTTTGGTCAATAATATTACTTTTGTTAAATTTTAAGAGGGCACAGATGCTACCAACATATCTACAGCTAAAATGATCAAGTTGGTATCTGCTCCGTCATGATGGAGAGGCACTTGGAGCGCAGCTTGGTCTCCAGGGGGAGGGACAAGCCAGGTGATGAGCACAGATGACCCCTCACACTCCTCCTTCAGATAGATGTGTTCAGAAACACCGGAATGGCAATGAGTGAAGCTAGAGACCCTCAGGCTTCTCCTGGCCCCCCCGTGACCTGGCACCACTATGAGGAGAAGGCTGGAGGTTCCTAGCGCAAAGGGAAGGCTCAGTCACACCCATGGGTGCTAGGAAACTGGCTTGAGAACCCAAGAGTTATCAAGGAACCTAGGATAGAACTTAGCTTTCCTGTTGCTCAAACACACCCACGACAGCAGCCTGGGATATATTCCCAGGCAGTCTGGTGGCTATGAGCCCAAGGACCATGAGCAAGTGGCATCAGGGGACAAAACTTCAGTGTGGAAAGAGCCTCATCAAGGTCTTTACTCCATCCCACCAGACTCTCCCAACCGTCAAGCTCTGCTTTGTAATCCTGCTACCAGGATTGCAACCCCAAAGCTGGAGCTGAGGTGAGGCAGAAGGAAGGAGGTTGAAGAAACAGACTCTGACCATATAGAAGACCCTGCCTTCATTTGGACCTGGCAGCAAGGGGCCGCTCCATCCCCTGAGCCCTCCACAGAGGCCCTTGACGTCTCCCATCTTCAGAAATGCAAGTGTGAGCTGGGACCCCCAAATCCCCTGCTCTTGGTACATTTGGAGAACATCCATTCTCTGCCTCTCTGAGAATGCAGCCATCGCTATCCAGAACCTCTCAGTCTCTGGTCACCCAGAAAGTAATTATCTGCTCAGTCTGGAGCCACCTGGCCTGTCCTAGCTTGGCAGGTTTATCTAATCAATCCCACCACGAAAGCAGCAATGTCTCTTTTCAAGCAGCTGGGGACCCTTGTTTTTCAGCCACACAACTCTGCTGGACCTCAACCTGGTTCTGTGCAGATGTACACATGCACTTAGTCTACAGTACACATGCAAACTTCAGAAATGACTTTTAGGGGTGGTACAATGGCTCAGTCTACACCTAATGACCTGAGTGTTACTACTGGGGACCACATATTGGTAGGAGAGAACCAAGCCCTGCAAGTTGTCCTCTGGCTTCCAATGCACGCTGTGGTGTGCTCGTGCATGCACACACGCACACACACCACTACATACACAGCAGATGCATTTTAAGACTCTAGTCTGTGATGGGGTTACTTTTCTTAGCAGCAAGCACGATACCATCCTTCCCATTTTGTTGAGGCAATTTTCAGGACCTCTTGGCTGAGGAGCAGGTTCTAGACAAGCCTTGGAAGTTGATCTGGCATCTGAATTCATAGGGCAGGGAGAACATGGGAATTCAGGAGCTTATGTGGAGAAGGCCAACTACTTGAGGCATTTCCAGAAAACAAACAAACAACAACCCACACTCAGATTCTGGAGATGCAGTGACTGGTTTATTGGCACTGCACTTCCCTTACCCTTGCAGAAGACCCACAGACTAGAAGCAGGGCCCGCAGTGGGAGCCTGGAGTGCAGTGAGCATGCGCGCACGCACTGAGCAAGGGGCTGGAGAAACACAATGTGGCGACGGAAGAGCCAGGAAGGGACTGGGCTCCGCGGCTCCTCCCCTCCCTGGGCATCCAGTAGGCAATAGCTCTAAGCTGCTGTTGAGAGCTGCCTCTTCAGTCGGCTGTGGGACATGCAACATGTCTGGCCCGATGAGGGAAGGTGGCGGCTCTGCCGTCAAGTTGATAAAGACTTTGCTCTGTAGCCCTGTGGAGTATCCTTTGAGGCCCCTTTCTCCGTCGGTGGCTGGCCCATTCCGCATGACAGTTTAGAGCTTGCGGTAGGCCTGAAGGGGATCCCCAGGGTGAGGCAGTGTGCAAAGTATGCAGGAACGGGCATGAGGACGAAGGCACACAGCCCGACCACCAGGGCCAAGAGCCACACTGGGTAATGACGAACCACATCTTTTGACTATGGAGAGACGGAGAAAAGGGGTTAATACAGCAAAATTCCCAGGAGGAGGAGGAGAGGCGTGGGGGGCGGGGAGGTGAACGCTAGTCAGCCATTGGCTGAAAGGAGCGGAAGGAACCCCAGGATCCGAGAGAGGGTTCACTCACAGTATTTGAGTCCCAAGCCACGTAGGTGAGGGGCTTCGTGATGACCTGAATGAAGACTGCCACTGCCAGGCCCAGCAACACCACTGGGCACACATAGCACCACAACCAGCCACAGACAAGGCAGATGGGGCGGCTCAGCAGAGCCGTCATGTCTGTGAGGAACCTGGGGAGGGACAATCATGGGCGGCCAGTGGAGCCTTCCCCTACCTCATAATCCTCAGCTACTTTATCTCAGTTCTCCTCCTCTCTTCCAGTCCCCTGCTACCCAGCACCTCCCATGGGGCCCACATCCAACTCTTTTATCCTGGTCCATCATGACGGGGAAGAAAGGGCTACAGAGGGGGCTCCATCCGTGGTGGCTGGCACATGGAGTAGACCAGGAAGCAGAGAAAACAGGCTAGAGCCAGGGCTGGGGGCCACTTCTAAAGGCAGCCAGACCCAAATAGCCTTCAAAGATGGCCCCACAAGCTGGACACTGAATATTCAAAACGCAAGCTTGTGATTAAAAGGCCACATCTGAACCACAGCAGAAAGGAGTCTTGGGTGGAGGTTGTCCCTATTCCCTGATTCTACCCCAGTCCCTGTGAGCTATACCTGCCTGGATCAGGCCATTCTCTCACCACTTCTTTGCTTGTTTGTTTGTTTGTTTTGTTTTTGTTTCTGTGACAAGGTTTCTCTGTCTAGTTCCTGGCTGTCTTGAAACTTACTCTGTAGAACTCACAGAGATCTGCCTGCCTCTACCTCCCAAGTGCTGCCACACCTGGATTTTCTGACCACAACTTTATCACCCTAGCCCAAGTCACTACTGGCTCCTGCCTGGAATCTTAAGCGGCTCCAACCAAGGAGTCCTTGGTTCTGCTTTTTCCTCCACAAGGCCACCAGAGGTGCCTTCATAAAATAAATATATCTGGCGGAATATACCTTTAGTTCTAGCACTTGAGAGGCAGGGGCAGATGGACTCTTATGTGAGGCCAGCCTGGTCTATAGCAAGTCCTAGGACAGCCAGCAGAATATAGTGAGAGCTTGAATCTAATTTTTTTTTTTAATCGGATGATGGTGCTCCCTACTCAAAACCATTCAGTGTTTTCTGGTACTTACAAGATCCCATCTTCTGTCCCCAAGCCCCCTAACTATTCCAGCTTCCCTACTGTATTCCTTGTTCCTTAAGAGCTTCAAGCAGGGCGGGGTGGTGGTGGCGCACGCCTTTAATCCCAGCATTCGGGAGGCAGAGGCAGGCAGATTTCTGTGAATTCAAGACCAGCCTGGTCTACAGAGTGAATGCCAGGACAGGCTCCAAAGCCACAGAGAAACCCTGACTCAAAAAACCCAAACAAACAAACAAACAAAAACCAAGAGCTTCAAGCAGGGTACTTCCTCTGTTGTACTCACACACATACACATGCACACACCACACACACAAATCATGGCTCCTACCTCATTTTCCTTAGGAGTCTTCTAACACATCACCCTTCCAGAAAGACCTTCCTTATTACCCTGTCTGAACCACACACACCTACTCTGAAGCAATGGAGCCTTTGGTTTCTTCTTGTCTTCTGTGTGTACCTTTACATGAACACGGAAGCTAGAGCATCATGTCAGGAGGCTCCCTCTGCTCCCCCACACCTTATTTTTCTGAGACAAGGTCTCTCACTGAACTTGAAGCTCTATTGTCTGGCTGCCAAGGCCCTGGGGTCCTGTCATTTCACCCCCCAGTGCTAGAATGGGTGTCGCCATGACCATTTCTATGGGTTCTCGGAAGAGAACTCAGAAGTGCATGCTTGCACAGCAAGGACTTTATACCAGCTGAGCCTCCTCCCAGCCTCACTTGTCATTTATGGTCTTTGTGTCTATCAGTATTGCTGCTATATGTCTGTCCCACTAGAATGTAAGCTCCTGAACTCAGGGTACTAACTTTGGTTTGTGAGGTGCTCCTGGTCACTAACCAGCCATAAGGCCTGCAGCACACGAAGCACACAAAAATATGGTAAGTAAACGTTTCTCAGAGGCCTTGAAGTTAAGGATCCGTGTGCCACTCTAATTTGATATTAGAAACCACAGGAAATCCGTCAACCCTCCCAAAACATCCATGCTCTGGCGGCCTGGCACGGGCCTTCACCTCTTGGCCCCGTAGGCCCAGGCTACCGCGAGGTTTTCACATATGACGATGCTGATGATGGGCAGAGCTATCCAGTATTCAGTCAGCAGCCCAAAGTAGTAGATGCCTGAAGGCTGGATGAAGAAGAGGCCGAACAGGAACATCACCATGGAAGCACCCACTGAAGGAAGCATGGAGGATCAGAGGTCTGGTAGACGATGGGACTAACGGGAGATCATAGGCTGGTGTTAAGGCTGGGGAGAGCAGGGTCGCAGGTGGAAGTACCTATAAGTGTCCTTGGATGTCTCCTGAATAAGGAGAAGGTGTCCCGGAGTGGGATAATGATGCCCAGCATGCATGCCACGACAGTACACAGCCCCAGACTCAGCAGCAGCAGGAAGTAGAGGACAGTCCAAAAGGCAGATGCAGGAACCATTGAGATGACTTCAGTAAAGGTCAGGAACACAAACCGAGGGCTCTCCTTAACCTGCAAGAACAGAGAAGTAAAGTGCCTTCTCTGCCTTCTCTACAAGCTCCCTGAAGCTCTGAGCAGAAGAGGAAGAGGAGAGCAGACCTCTGGGCACACCTGACAGGACCCCACCCCTGCAGCCCGTGGGAGGTGCTCTGTGAGCCATCACCAGGGCTATGTGTCACATTTCTTTCTGGGGCTAGTGAAAGCTGAACTCTCTGTGGTGCAGAGCAGGCTTCCCCAGCATCTCCGTAGCCCTGGGCCATCCCCACTGACCTTCAGAAACTGCTCTTGGATGTTGCATTCAGGCACCTTGCTGAGGACAGCACTCCTCAAGGGTGGTGGGAGGCTGTTGAGCCAGGAATTGTAGGTGGAGGTCGGGTTCCTCTGCAGGTCAGGGGGCTGCACCTCAGGCGGTAGGATCCCCTGGGCTACCAGCATTATAAGCGTCTCTGTGTTCCTGAAGATTTGGGTGAATTAGAACCATCAGGCCCTTTGGCACCACCCTTCCCTTGCTCATCTTACAGATGAGAGCCATCTTGAGCCTGAATGAAATCTAGAGGATGTCCATTTTCAGGGCCCTGAAGAATGTACGCCCCTGAGGAACCCTGGGCAGGTATTTTCTACAGACTGGCTAGGGACTTTGTGGTCCTGGTGTTCATGATCTTTTCTGAGACCAGTAAGGAGAAAAAAAAAAAAAAAAAAAAAAAAAAAAAAAAAAAAAAAATCTAAGCTCTCCATTTCAGAGAGCGTGGCAGCTTCCTTAGACTGAAGTGTGTGGCAGTCCCAAGTTGTGCTATGTGAAAGCACTGTCATTTTGACTTGCTAAGAGCGAAGTGCACGCCTTGTGAGAGTGAGTGTAGAAGGATCATGTCCTAGAAATTAAGTAGGATGCTATTCTGGCAATAAGGCAGCCACATACTTAGACTAATATTCTCATTGTAAATAATTTAAGCTGAGAGATATTTTAAATCTTCTTATAAGAATGTAACTGCTAACAGAGGCTGAGAAGTGGCTTGGCAGCTAGTAAGAACACTGGCTGCTCTTCCAGAGAACATGAGTTTGAGTCCTAGCACCCAGGTCAAGAAACTCACAACTGCCTGTTACTCCAGCTCCTGGGCATCTGGTGCCCTCTTCAGCCTTCTCCATCTACATACACACCAAATAAGTGAATGTGAAAACATTAGTTAAATAAAATATATAAATAAACAGTGCTGTGGAAGCTGACCCCCCCCACACCGCCCTACTTGCTTTTTGTTTTTTGATTTTTTGAGACAGGGTCTCTCTTCCTGGCTGTCCTGGAGTTCACCAGGCACACATGATGTGGGAAGGCTGCACCTTCAATGTCACAGGGCAGAGAGGTGCTTAACAAATGAACAAAGCAAGGGGAAAGTCACGTTTCCAATAGGCTGTATCCACAAGGCAGCCTTAGCTTCAACTTGAAGCACAGTTTTCAACTCTGATTATCACAAGACCAAGACTTGAGTTCCAGAAAGAATCTTCCCAAAGCTCCTGTCCAGAAGAACTCACTCAACCCTGGAGTGTCAGGATCTCCATGATGAAGCCAGGCTGAGCGCAGAGCCTAAGTCAGGAGGATCATAGCTTCAGAGCTAGCTTGTTTTACATAGTAAATTCCAGGGCGGGCAGACCTACATAGTGAGACCCTGTCTCAGAAAAATTAATCAATCAATCAATCAGTCAGTCAGTATTTAAAAGGGGCTGCACCTGCAAAGACCCACATTCAGCTACCAGGACCCATACCGTGACTCTCAAACTACTTGTGTTCCAGTTCCACAGACTCTGCCACCCTCTTGTGGCCTCTATGGGCACCAGACATGCACAGTTATACATGCAGGCAAAACATTCATGAACATACAATAAAATAAAAACTAAAAATAAATGCAGACACAAAGTGAAAAGCCTGGGGTGCATCTCAGTGTAGAGCACTGCCTATCACAGACAAGGCCCTGACTCCAGCCACTGTTAGGTTGCGTGTCCAGAGACAGAGAGGCAGGAGATTCTCAGTAAGTTCAGGGCAAGCCAGTCTACATAGCAAGTCCCGGTCCAGTCAAGACCAAAAGAAAGATCCTGCCTCAAAAAAGAGAAAAAGATTTATTTTTATTATTTTTTAAATGATGTGTCAGGGCTATGAGTATGTGAGCATAGGTGCCCACAGGATCCTAAGGGTGTCATGTTCCCTGGAGCTGGAGTTACAGGCAGTTGTGAGCTGCCAGGCATGGGCTCTGGGAACCTGACTTCTGTCTTCTGCACCAGCAGTACACATTCTTAATTGCTGAGTAATCTTTCTGGCCCCCAAGGGAAAGAACATTAAAAACAAGAGCAATCATCAATGAAATAAACAGTTAACAAAATTAACAAACAAAGGAGAAAAACAACCAGAAGCTGATTTTAAAATAAACCATAGGTAGCTGGGTGGTGGTGGTGCACGCCTTTAATCCCAGTACTCAGGTGGCAGAGACAGGTGTATCTCTGTGAGTTCAAGGTCAGCCTGGTCTACGGAGCAATTTCCAGGACAGCCAGAACCACACAGAGAAGCCCTGTCTCAAAAAACCCAAATAAAAAAAGTAAGTAAGTAAGTAAGTAAATAAATAAATAAATAAATAAATAAACAAACAAACAAACCATGGGGGCTGGAGAGAGGGTGCCAGGGTCTCTAATAAATAAATAAATAAATAAACAAACAAACAAACAAACCATGGGGGCTGGAGAGAGGGTGCCAGGGTCTCTACTGCCCTCTTCTAGCAGCAAAGGCATCAGACACAAGTTTTATCCAACACAGGGAGGAAGGAGCTGGGAGAGGACTCTTCCAGTGAAAGCATTTCCTCTGCAAGCAGGAGGGCCTGAAGTTCGAGTCCCAGCATCCATGAACACCACACAGCCGCCCGTGCCTGTAATCTCAGCACTAGGAGATTGAGATAACTAGATCCCTAGAGCTTGCTGGACAGCCAGTCTAGCCAAAATGGAGAGGCGCTACTTTAGTGAGAGAGCCTTTCTCAAGGCAATACGGTGGAGAGCGACAGACACAAACAGCCAACGCCCTCTCTGGCCTCCATCTGCACGCACAAGAGCATGTGTGGTACATCCATACGCATCGTAGGGAGAAAGAAGCAAACAAGCTGTACGGAGCAATTTCTGGGTGGCCCCTTCTTAGTGTGGGCGCTGGTCACCCCACAGTGCTTTACACTGACAGGTAAAGTGTCACTTCATGTGTGTGTAATGGCTCATAATAAAGGTCCTTTTTAAAAACACACACAAGGGCCAGGCAGTGGTGGTGCATACATTTAATCCCAGCACTTGGGAGGCAGAGGATGGCAGATCTCTGAGTCCGAGGCCAGCCTGGTCCACAGAGTGAGTCCCAGTATGTTCATCCAAGGCTATACAGAGAAATCCTGTCTCAAAAACAAACAAAAAGTCCAACCAACCAAAACAAAACACAAAGGTCATCAAGAGGTCTCAGTGGGTAAAGGACTCGCCATACAGGCCTGGCTGGCAACAATCCCTGGAACCCTGCAGAGGAAAAGGGAAGAACTGACATCACAACGATGTCTTCTGCCTCCACGTATGGACTGTGACATTCCATTCACCCACATCAAGTACATACTACAATAATAACCAAAGAGCTAAACAAATGATACAAATATAGTATTTGTATATGCCTATCAAACTTACAAAACTAAGAGGTCCAGCCAAGTCTAATAAAGTGCTGTGCAAACAAAGAGATGGACTCCTCACACTTCCCTGCTGGGAAGGTAATTCTGATTAAACCACTCTGGCAATCAGACACTGAGCAGACCCTGCCCAGCAAGCACTTCTAAGGTTTAGTCTGCCCCGCATATGTATAAACTCTCCACCCTTGGATTCCAAATTTTACAATACCGGTGATGTGTTTATGTGACTAGATCCCTGATTATCGCATTCTATACTAAACCAGTACAAACCATTCCCGACAGAGCTGGGTATGATGGCACACACCTGTAAGCCTAGCAGACAGCAGGCTCACACAGAAAGACAGCTTGTGAGATGCAAGTCAGCCTGGGCTTCAAAGAGACACTGACCTGAAGCAAATGCAAAACTTCTGTTCCCTAAACAGTACAGGGTGAAATGTACTCACAGCAGCAACACCATTTGGCCTGTACTGTCCTGAGGGTGATTTCTGTCTACAAGAAGACACAGTGGACATATGTAAGTGCAAGAGTACATTACACAAGGAATGGAGCAGCTGCAGGTTATCTGTATGGTTTTTGAGAACTGTGTCTGCTATGCAGAACTCTGAATATGTACAAGAGTTCATATGTGTACCAGGTGTCATGTGGCTAATTTCTATGAACCGGAACAGAAAGAGCCCCTTCTGAACCAAGGGAGGAAAACAGGCCTCAGGAAGCTAACCAAGCTTGGGAAGCACTGGAAGCTCAGAAAGGCACAAGACATGTGAGGCCCCTCCTCAAGGTTACTCATGTAGTCATGACTGCTGAAGAGACAGGACTCTCCCTACATCTGTCAACAGGAGGTTCAGGGAGCTCCATGGATGCAAGATGTCACCCACGTATGGTTTCCCAGTCATAGTGAGGCTTTTAAGTTACTGATTTTCCTGTAGGTAGTCTTTCACCCATGCTCCCATGAGTGACCCAGTAAGCCATCACTTCACCATCTAGACTTGGCTGACACCCTCTTTGGCCTATTGCCAGTTCCCTGTCTAGGCTGAACACATTTTCTAGAAGAAAATGACAATCATTTGTGGAGATTGGGGTTACTATGGAGAAATCCAACTCAGGTTTGCCTTCTCCTGAAGGCCTCTCTGGCTCTCTCAGGCTCAGATTATCAGCTATCAGAATTTTATGACTAGCAGGGTTAGTATCCAATTCTTCATTCCTTCTCCCTTCAAGACTGAAGAAAAGCAATGTAAGCATGACAGGTGTTGATGAAACAGTCCAGGCTTCTGTGATGACAGCTGACAATAGGATCACATTCCAATGCTCTCTTACATGGTAGGGTGTTTATAGCTAATCATGGTGTACTATGCATTTAAAGGTAACAAGAGAGATGCATCAGCCGTTGAGAGCACTTGCTGTTCTTTCAGAGGACTCAGACTCCGCTCAGCATCCTCATGCTGGCAGGAGATCTGCTTCTCCTCACCTCCACAGGCATCAGGTCTACACATGGTGTACATACATCTATGCGGCAAAACACTCGTATACATATTAATAAGCAAATAAGTAAACTTTTAAAAGGGTAGAAATAACTACAAGAGCTGTGAGTAGTGACACACAGCTGTAAACCAAGTTTTGAGACATTAGAGAAAGGAGAGTCTGGAGTTCAAAGCCATCCTAGGCTATATAGTGAGACCCAGTCCCCAAAAACAAAAACCTCCCAAGGGAACTTTGTTTTCACCACAAAGAGATGATAATGTCTGAGGTGAAAGTGTGCTATGCAATGTACACATAAACCACAATATCCCCATGAACTCATGGGGTTATAGAATGTGTCAATAAAACCAAAATGAGATGAAGAGCTGGTGGACAGTCCTAGCCAGGAAAGAATCCTATGGTCTCTAACCCTTTGGAGTTTAGGTTTGCCAGATGGGCAGAAAACCCTGAATTTGGGAATCCATAGCTAAGGGACTGTGTGGGAAGCAGACTTCCTCGGATGGTCTGTGACGCATGGTCTCAAATGCTGCTCTCTGTGTGGGTGGCCTTGGCTTGCCTGCCATTCTTAGCATCTGTTAGCTCATCTTTTCTAAGGCGGGGGTTGGCAGCCTCTGGAGCTCTCTAATGTTAAAAATATAGGACTCTGGCCTCTGTTCCCTCTAAGGGGAAGCAGAGCTTTTAGTCTCCCTGAAGTGTGTGAATGGGTTGTAAAGCTGCCCAGGCTAGACCTTACCAGGGAACTGGCCTTACTTCTTACAGCAGCGATGTGTAGTTATGGTGGCCCATAAGCCCAGGATGGAGAGGATAAGAGGCGTGGTGAACAACAAAGTGAGCATCTTGATCAGACCCATAATGAAGGCGTCCCCCAAACAGTTGTTGAAGTCAGGCATATGTGAGGAGAAGTAGATAATGGGGCCAAAGCCTATACCCATATCAAGCACGACTTGGATCCCTGCTTGGGACCATACAGTTAGGTCATAGATGCTTGCCACCTAAAAAGGAGAAGACGGGTACAACAGAGACATCAAGATGTGGCAAAGCACAACCCGTAACAGACGTCGTCCACTCAAAGGAGGGCAGTATAGGAGATAATGGCAGGCAAAGCACAACCCATAACAGACGTCGTCCACTCAAAGGAGGGCAGCATAGGAGATAATGGCAGGGAAAGCACAACCCGTACCAGACGTCGTCCACTCAAAGGAGGGCAGCATAGGAGATAATGGCAGGCAGCTGTGTTGGTCCAAGAGCTGAGAAAGCTGAGGAAGGACCTCACCTTGAGAATTCGCAGGTGTTTAAGCCCATATTCTGCGCCCGCCATTGGCAGAATCCGGAAGAGGAAGCAGGAGATCATGAAATAGGGAAGTGGCACCAAGACATACAGAGCCTGTGTGGGGAGTGCAGCACGTCAGTAGAGGCTCAGCTCCATAGAGCTCAGTGGGTGAATCAGGACTTGGAAGAGTTTCCAGCCAGGTAAAGTGCTTGCAGGGGTAACTGGCCAGGAGGGAGAAACAGAGTCATAGCACTTGAGAATGCCAAGGGCCAAGCACAACTCACCTTCTCAAAGGACTTGATCCCGTTGATCGTGAAAACACAAACGAAACACCAGGCCAAAAGCAGGAACATGCCCAGGTTGAAGGCTGGCGGCCCTCCATCCTCAATTCTGCCTGAGGCTTTCAAGGTCTGATGGTACCAAAAGTACGCATAGGATGTTCCCTGTTCACATTCAGGATCTGGGGGAACATGGCTTTGGACAGGTCTGCTAGACATAGCAACCCACCCCCACCCCGCCGCCCTGCCCGGCACCCCCTGTTCTTCCGTCTTCCACTTCATGCCCCTCCTTTCTCTTTTCTCCTCTTCCCAATCTCTTCCTTTCTCCCCGTCTCCCTCCTCACCAAGGCCGCTGGAGTTCCTCTGGAAAGGACAGTGCTGCCATGGGACAGTGACGTGGAATACATGGCTCATGTAGAACAGGATCCAGGAATTGTACAAGTTAATGTAGGTGTTGGTGACGAAGCACACCTGGAGGCCAGGAAGACAAGCAGGGGTGGGGGAAAGGATGCAGGGACCGAAGGAGCGTGGTCCACGGGAGGATGGCCATGGGACTGACTCCAGACTGAAGGGTGGGAGCAGCTGTAGGGGCAGGGTTGTGAAGCTTGGGGCTCCTCACCATGAAAATGCTGTATCCCACACCACCAAACCAGGGACTCAGGGTCTTCCACAGGTCCATGCTGCCACTCTGTGCCCTCTGACCAACTGCCATCTCCAGGAAGAGGAGGGGAACCCCAATGAAGAACAGCATTACGATGTACACTATAAAGAAGCTGCCTGTGGAGAGAAGGCAGATCTCTGAGAGCCTGCACTTCCTTGTGTGCCCAAGAAGACCGCTCACCAACAGCAACCTCCCTCACACCTCAGGCTTCGGGCTGCCTGGCTCCACATCTATCACTGGTCAAGCTCCTAGGAGTCTCAGGTGTCTGCCCTTCCCCCTACCTCCCCCACACCCTGCCTGCCCCCTCCACGCACACCCTGCCTGGGCTATGCTCAAAACCCTGCAGGATGACTACTCGTGACCTGGGTCCTGAGAAACCTGGTTTCTAGTATGCTCTAGAGTCTGCACATCTCAGAGATGTCAGCATTGGGAGCCACAGCCACTGTCCCTCCTGCTGTGCCTCTGAATCCATGTATGCTGGTTCCCAGACTTACAGTCTCCATTGTGAAGCCACCGTGAGACAAAGCTCCAGAGATGAGTCGGCATCAGCAAGTAGCTCACCAGGGCCAGGGTGTACTGAAGCTTACTGGACCAGAATGGACGGGGGATGAAGACTTCATTCTTGCTCATATTTCTCACCTCCTCTGAGGTTGCTTCTTTCGGAGCCTCCAAACCATGGGTCTCCCAGGCCAGACTCCTTGCCAGACATGTCTTTGAAACTTGGGCCCGTGTCACCCAGGCAGACGCAGACCAGGTCATTAGGAGCCCACCTTCCCATTCCCCAAAGTTTGACTCCTTGGAAAGTCTGCTTTCTGTGGATAAGGTTTTCCCCAGCAAGGACTCGGAAGCCTTTGTCGAGGGAGATTCTGGAGGTGCATCCCGTAGAGACGATCCCGCCTTGGCAAGGGGCGGTGGTGACCCTTCACCTTCCTCCGTGGACCTTAAAATCAAAGGCCAGAGATTTGGGGTGAAATCTGATTAGGAAATTATCCTTAGGCTTAATTATTCATGAGTTTCAAACTATCTCAAGGGAGAATTTCATTTCTACACCCTCCACTTATACCACAAATATAACATACATGCCACACATACATGCCACACACATACACGCCACATACATACATGCACCATACATACATGCCACACATACATGTACCACACATACATGCACCACACATACATGCACCACACATACATGCACCACACATACATGC